CAGGGCAAGCCAATAAGCTTGTTGCTAGTGTCATTTGTTAACTAACATGTAGCTACAGTGAGGAAAATAAGTATGTGAACATCCTGCGACTTTGCAAGTTCTCCCACTTAGAAATCATGGAGGGGTCTGAAATTTTCATCTTAGGTGCATGTCCACTGTGAGACATAATCAAAAATTATTTTTTTTTATCCGGAAATCACAATGTATGTTTTTTTTTTTTTTTAATAATTTATTTGTGTGTTACTGCTGCAAATAAGTATTTGAACAGCTGCCAATCAGCAACAGTTCTGGGCCTCAAAGATCTGTTAGTCCACCTCCAATTATTATTCTAAATTAGAAGCACCTGTTTGAGGTGTTTAGCTGCATAAAGACACCGGTCCACCCCACACAATCAGTAAGACTCCAACTACTAACACGACTAAGACCAAAGAGCTGTCCAGAGACACCAGAGACAAAATTGTAGACCTCCACAAGTCTGGAAATGGCTACGGAGCAATTGCCAAGCAGCTTGGTGAAAAAAGATCAACTGTTGGAGCAATTATTAGAAAATGGAAGAAGCTAAACATGACTGTCAATCTCCCTCGGACTGGGGCTCCATGCAAGATCTCACCTGGTGGCGTATCAGTGATCCTAAGAAAGGTGAGGAATCAGCCCAGAACTACATGGGAGGAGCTGGTCCATGACCTGAAGAGAGCTGGCACCACTGTTTCCAAGGTTACTGTGGGTAATACACTAAGACGTCATAGTTTAAATCATGCATGGCACGGAAGGTTCCCCTGCTTAAATCAGCGCACGTCCAGGCCCGTCTCAAGTTTGACCATGACCATTCGGATGATCCAGAGGAGACATGGGAGAAAGTTCTGTGGTCAGATGAGACCAAAATAGAACTTTTTAGTCTTAATTCCACTCGCCGTGTTTGGAGGATGAAGAATGATGAGCACCATCCCAAAACACCATCCCTACTGTGAAGCATGGGGGTGGAAGCATCATGCTTTGTGGTGTTTTTCTGCACATGGGACAGGACGACTACACTGTATTAAGGAGAGGATGACCGGGGCCATGTAGTGAGAGATTTTGGGGAACAACCTCCTCCCCTCAGTTAGAGCATTGAAGATGGGACGTGGCTGGGTCTTCCAACATCACAATGACCTGAAGCACACAGCCAGGAGAACCAAGGAGTGGCTCCGTAAGAACATATCAAGGTTCTGGAGTGGTCCAGCCAGTCTCCAGATCTAAACCCTATAGAAAATATTTGGAGGGAGCTCAAACTCCGTGTTTATCAGCAACAGCCCAGAAACCTGTTGATCTAGAGAAGATCTGTGGAGGAATGAGCCAAAATCTCTGCTGCAGTGAACCTGGTGAGAAACTACAGGAAACATTTGACCTCTGTAACTGCAAACAAAAACTACTTTTTCACAGCTGTTCAAATACTTATTTGCAGCAGTAACACACAAATAAATTATTAAAAAATAATACATTGTGATTTCCAGATTTTTTTTTTTTAGAATATGTCTCTCACAGTGGACATGCACCTAAGATGAAAATTTCAGACCCCTCCATGATCTCTAAGTGGGAGAACTTGCAAAGTCGCAGGATGTTCAAATACTTATTTTCCTCACTGTATTTAGCAATACCTGCAAATAATATGGAAACGTTGAATGATGAAACCGGCTTCTAACATATGCAACAAAGGGACCATCCATCCAGAACAATCAATCAATATGCATAATAATCAAATGTTTTAGGCCTCATGGCCAACTTGCTACTCACAGAAACAGCCTGAGAACACAAGGCCAAGCTGGTTCAGAAAAAGGTTTGTAAACTCGATCATCCAGGTAGATAAATTACAAAAAAGGTTAAATTATGTCGCCTGGACAAGTTTCTTTAAGGGAGTACAAACAGTAATTCACTAGCAGGCTGGCTTGAAACCCGTCAACGAGGTGCTATTTATAAGACAGATGTTGGTGGCAGGCCTCAGACTGAAGAAGTCTTTCAGATGAAAGACAAAATGTTTCTCCCAGGAAGAAACGGTCCAGATTATCAGATTTAACCATTTTTGTGATTTATCTACCTGGATGATTGAGTTTACAAACATTTTTTTAATGTACAAATATTTTCCCCATAGAAATACATTGAGGAGGTCTTTTCAATTTAATCCAAAACATTGTACTCTTTGAAATCTGCTTCACGCTCTGTTTTGTTTTTTCTTATGCTACTTTAATTTTTTAGCAACTTTTGGCTTTTAGCGAGCCTTTTATTACCTGTAGATAGCCACATGTTGGTAGCCACTTTTTAATGCTTTGTTTTTATCTAGCCTTTACGTTTTTAAACTTTTTGGTTGTTTTTGCTAGCATGTTGCTACTTTTAGCTTCTATCTAACTTTTTGCTACATGAAATATTAGCTACTACTATGTTCTTGTTTTTTTACTTTTATGTAGTTTTTGCTATGTAGCTGGTATTTTGCTACTTTTTGCTGTTGTAAACTAGCGTTTAGTTATGTTTAGCTTGTAACTATCAATTTTCTACTTTTCGGTTCAAGCTAGCCTTTTGCTTGTTAGCTAGAATTTTTGTTACGTTGTTTTTAATTAGCCTAAATTATTTGTTAGCTTATTTTAATTTTTGCTAACTTTTAACTAGCATTTTGTAGCTTTTAGCTGGCACTTGGATATGTTTAGCTTTTGGCTCATGCTTTACTCTTTTGTTGCTCTTCTTTTTTGTTTTCTTTCCAGGCGACAAATCTTCTCTGAAGTGTATCTGGTTACTAATGCAGACAAGTGAGTTGCCAGCTGTTGTTGACCTTCTTTTTTTTTTTTTGCCACAACTTCTTTTTGACGCAGCTTTTAATCTTGTCCGATTAGGTACAAGCACTATGAGCGCTGGGCCACAGCTAATGACTTCCCAGTAGAAAATGTAGTAAACGACGGCAGCACTACGTTAGCGGACCAGCTTGGGGCTATAGCTGACCTGGAACTTGTCATACAGAGTCGAAAGCTGCAAGACGATGTTGTCGTGGTATGTTTAACGTTTGACCTGTGGTTAATACGTGTGCAGGACTTTGTAAGCTACATTAAGAGTGTTCTCTATGCAGATTGCCGGAGACATGCTGTGTGCGGACCAGAACTTTGACATTGCTCAAGTTATTCGCTTTTTCAGGTCAAAGGTGAGATTTTTAAAGCTCAAGTGGCTGTTCTGTCAAAATCACACTGAAAATAGAAGAGAAAATAAAAAGAGAACACAAAAGAACAAAACCCCTGTTTTTTCACCGTCCCACGGAGTTTCTGTAATTCATCTGAGCATGAGGACAGACCGTTCTCATTCTGTGAAGCTTCCAGTTTAACTTGGTCAGACTCCATGAGGCCAGCGGTGGTGTTA